GGCAAATGATTGTGGCTTGAGTTCATCCACCGACCAAGATATCTTATGTATTCTTATGTCATAATTGTCATATGTCGTCCTATGTCCATGCATGTCTGAAAGAAGATGCCAACACTATTCCTCTCGCATCCTGTTGACCCTTTGTGTTTATAATTGTTTATATATCTATACATATATATATATTATGTTTCTGTCCCAGTCAGAAAGTCTCTGTTTGCAGGTGCAAGAACAGAAAGTTGACTTAAACGTGATTGCTTGCAGCGCAGTGATGAGCACGCGCCTTAGTAGCTCTGTTTGGCTTCAAACATCTACATGCCCATGACAAGCATTGACCTGTGCAGCTCCATTTGTTTCCTCATGTTTCCTCTTTGCGGATCCATTCCGCACTGTTTCATTTTCAACTGTTGGGTTTACCCATGATGGTACTGGTTGTCCACAAAGATTTACAGATAGTATATCGTGATTCTTGACAATTCTTGGGACGTTCTTCTTTCGTCATGTCACGACCCTTTTTTGGAAGTCGGTTGGTACCTATACGCCGTGCAAAGCGAGGTGCCTGCGAGAAAGGGCAGCAATGGTCCTTGGCCTTGGGCTTTCTTCGTTTGATGCAAGACAAGAAGATGGAGGCCAGTCACGACATGTCACAACCATGGCGATCTCAGTGCGGCTAGGGTGCTGAGGTGTAGTGTATGCTAGTACAGTCTACAGTACAAAAACTGAGATTGATATCGTTACTTTGGTGTGCTTTGATGTGCTTTGAATATAGGTTCATAACGGTTCATTGAAGTGCATATTCTATGATGGCATGTAAGTACTCAGTATTACTTGCAGCCATGGTTCCCTGAAATTGTTTCAACCCCCTCGCCTGCTTGGTACTTTGAAATGGTTTTACCAAGCAACGGTTTTAGAATCACGCGTTTTCAAGCCAGCCACATGTGTTCGACCAAGTGATCATATGCACTCTGGAACTGGTATGACTTGGTATGATGGTGGACTTACTGTAGATGACACAATCCGCTTTGACTGGATTTGTCCATTGGACGCATTTTGGTGATCCTTTGGATTACCGCCAGAACCACTTTGTGAGGTGAATGTGGTTGCCTACAGCGCAGCCACCAGCGCCTGCGAAAAGTGCAAGCATTGGGAAAATGCTGTGGCCCTTTTCTACGAGTTGCTAGAGCATCCCGGATGAAAAAGTAAAATGAACTAAACTGAATTAAACATGGACATACATGGACACCATGGACACCTTCCAAACACCCCAGATGCAGTGATGATCTCACTGAACCAATTCTTAACCTAGAAGATCCTAGAAGCGGTGAAGAAACATCAGTTGCAACCCATCTCCGCTCAGGCACCAGTTGACCCCTGATGTCATCGCCTGGAACTCAGTGCAGATTGAATCCATTTGAAGATCTTCGAATCATTTCTCGACATATTGTGATATATAATTATATATATATATTGATATAATTGTGATATCTGTTGACTCCACTGTTGACCATTGTAAACCATTTTTTTGAGCCATATCAGGACTTGAAAGATAAAGGAATCAAATTGTTGAGAGCAAGACCAGGTGTGTAGCGCCACGATCAGTGCAGCAGAACGATCCAGCTCATGGGATGTGCTGGAGCGGTTGTTGCTTGGACCTCAGAGAACACCTCATGGAAAATTCATTGATGGTTGAAGCATGGACTCCTCATCATTTGATGTTGAAAATGGTTGAACGACCACTCTGCTTGAAAACAGAGTGACATCGGCCTGAGCATATTAGTGACAGTGCACAGCCAGCAGGTGTAGGTGGACATAGGACAAGAGACGTGAACAACGAAATTGTCTAATGTCGCTAACCTCGACGTCTTAGAGAGAAATGGTTCAGGTGGTGATCAACTACTGAGATACTGTATCCATGCGTTGTCTTCACACCAATCGATAGCCCACGTTGCTGAAAGTTTGATCGTTCCTAGTAACCTCATTCAAACCTCTCATTTTGGCGAGATTGGTCGCCAAGCATCCTGGCTGCGATAGGCAAAAACAAATGGACAAGCTAGGAAAGAGGTACTGGCAGAGAGACCTTGTTTGATTGTTCCGAGGTATGCAATGTGCCTATAACATCCTATAACTATCCCAGATACCATTTTTGCATATTTTTGCTGCATTGGGCGCGACGCGAGGTCAGACATCAAACACTGCAAAGTCCAGCCAAATGTCGTCCTTTTCAATGCAGCAATCAGTGCAGCTGAGAAGGTGCGTCGGCGCATGCTAGGGAATAAAGTGGCTGTTCTGGCTGAGCTGTGACATGAGGTGTTCAACATGGGGGTTGAGAATGTTTTAGGTATTTTTAGGTCCCTGCAAAGTTCAAACTTGAAGTGAATCTTTTGCAAAAGGAGTCAAAAGGAGTCGGGGAACAGGAAGTTATTGACCATCTAATTATGGATTCTCATCTTCTCATGAAGCTGGAAGGATGAAAGTCTGCATAGCGGATACCCTGGCTGCTGTTATGAATTTCCACAGCAGGACAAGATTAATCGGAATTCCATGGAAATCCTGGTTTTCTTTCCACCCTGACATACCCTGTGACATGTGGAGGCTGGATATTGGCAAGGTGCAACAGACCTCCTGGCAGACACTGGGAGATCAGGGGATGGCTGGTGAATGTTGCCATGTGCTTGGTTGATTCCATATTAGTCTATTATAATATATATATATATATCAAAATGGTACGTTTTTTCTGCTAGTAGAAGTTTGGTGAGCCCTCAGCGATGTATATACTTTGTCCGTCCCAAGATGTTGACAGTTTCTTGGCCTTCCAGATGGGTAGCAAACCTGTTTACATTCATGAATGGACGAGGCAACTTCAAGCGACACTGTTTGTAGATTCTGTAGATGTGAACCAAACCGAAACCGCGCAAATGAGACATGTTCTAGGGAAGGGTATGCATCCAGCGGACATGAGCAGACAGCTTGAAGCTACTCACACCAGCTCATACCCACTTGTATCAGCTGCTCAGGAAATGATGCAAGGCAGCATAGAGGCGACCAGCATCACGTACAGTGCAGCAATCTTGGCATGCTCAGCGGGTGAGCAGTGGCAAGTGGCTTTGGGACTGCTGGAGCAGGTGGGGAAGATTTGAGGAGGTTGGAATTTGGGACATCTTTTTACGCTTTTTAGACATCACAAGTTGGAACTGGCGATGATCACAGTACTGCACTGTTTGCACAATTTTGTTTTTCTTCCCATTGTGTTCATTTGTTTCCATGTTTTCCCGACACTGTGTATGGACAACATTCACTCAGATTGAATCGCTTGTTCTCAGCGCACTGATTCCAGCTGAAACTAGAAGATTGTTTGACATCCGTAGTCCGAATATGAACAGTGCGAATATTGGCATTTCAAGGAGAAAGAAGGGCGCTTGGTTCCAAACTGGGTGACCTATGCATCTGCGATCTCCACTTGCGATCCTGGGATGATAGACAGTTTACAAAGGCATCCTGCAAGGTTTGCATTTCTCAAGTCGGAACACGAAAAGTCCGATTGATTCCGGTTGCAAGATGTTGCAAGGTCAAAGTATAATAATTATGTCAAAGGGGTCAAAGACCGTTGAGCAAATAGTGCAGTGGCACCAGGCACAGACGTTCCAAGGCCACAAATAGGCAGGATATGGCAGCATCATCAATTTCAAGATTCAAGAGGTGAGGCTGTGGATGATGTGGATGCCAGTGGCAAAAATGTTTGAGTATGTTTGATTTGAATTGGGTTTTTGTACTGGTTGATGAGCTCAAGTGTGGCCGTGGCTTATCTGGCTTTTTCCAAGGAAAATCGTCTGAAGCACAAGCAGGTCCCCGGTTTGTTGCCGCTGGGACGAATACTTGTTTGATTTTTTTTGTATATGAGTACAGAGTAGGTGCGTGTATACATAATGTGTATAGGTACATTCCTGGATCATGCATGCTTCAAGGTACTCTGGCTACCGTCTACCGTGGAAAGTTTCACTGTTTGCCTTCCACAACCAAGGTTAGAGGCAAGTGACAGTGTTTGAGAAAGTTCAGAAGATGCAACTCCTTCCAACACGACGACTGGTCATTGCTTGTACCCGAACCAACATATATTTAACAATATGTAACAGCTTTCGAACAGGAACAGTTGTTTCTGGGTGGAACTGTTGTGGGGCCGTAGAAGCCAAGGATGGAACTGCAAGATTTGGTTCTCGAAACTGAGAAGCTGTGATACTAGAAGCCTTGGATGAGTTCCGCTCACTCAAGACACAGTACATGTTCCAACAAGTGCATAAGCAAGAATGAGAAGCGCTGAAAGAACTGGTATGTTTTGATCAAATGTAAAATGTTCATTAAATGTTCAGTTTTTAACAATTTTCTTTTTTTTAACCAACGTCCAAACGCGCTTCAGGGTTTTTGATACCAAACTGCCAAGAACATATCAATACGGTGTTGGAAAGCCCAGTGATCCCTTGCTACGTTGTTTGTGTATAAGACGCTAAACCTGAAAAACTTTTTCTTCCTGATGAACATTTTCAACTAGAAAACGCTGTGTCCACATGAGCAATGCTCAGCCTCACACAGTGCTTCAACTTGTCGTGCTCAACATTGACCGGTGTAAATTAACGCTGAGCATTTGCCGCTAAACAATTTGGTATTTTTGATGAACATGTTCAACTAGAAAGATTTGTGCACTGAGCTGCCACCAAGTGGGCAGCCAACCGAGAGGGGCCGAAGACAAAAGTGTCCACAGCCCATGACTGACGAGCTAGAAACTCAAGAAGGAGAACTGCGATTTTGCTGAAGTCTTTCTACCTGTGTGAATCCCTTGGTGAGCAACACACTTCAGATTGAGATGTTAATATATTTTAGCATGGTTGGCCTACGTTTCCATGAAGATGTTATGCAACGTTTAGAGTGTTTAGATATGTTTAGTGGATTTGCGCAATTTCACCTGGCTGCCTTCTCGAAACATGCCCAGATGTGCAGATTCCAGTGGCCAGGCTGCACGGCTTCAAGCGCAGTCTTTCGCAGAGTTGTTGGAGGCACGGGAAAGAATTGGGAAGGTCATTGCAGGATATGAACGGGTCCCTTCGAAGGATGACAAAATGGACGGGTTAGCTTGCAGCGAAGAGTGGATAGCCTATCCTGGCCCACTGCCAATTTTGGGGATTCTGTTTTCATTCACGGAAGGATGGAAGAGGATTCCACAGCCAGCACTCGTGCTTAGCCCACGAGGCATCAAAAAGCCAGGCAGGTGAGCTTGACCTTGCGCGGCACCCGGAGCCAGCTATCAACAGTTCGTTGTCACACATGCCAGCGCTGGTCTCTGTCTATGTTCAACTCCTCAATTTAAAGTCTATCCAAGTCTTTGAAGATCTTTGAAGCAAATTTCTCTGCAATCTCACTTGTGTCACTTGTGTGAGATTTGTGTGAAATGCCCTGGCTTGCAGCGCCCTAGGTTCGTCGTCAGCTCATTGAAACAGTACAGGAGGGGTGAAGTTCGCTGTAGATGCCAGGTGATGGGCACAGCATGGCACAGCTGTTTGCAGCATCAACCTGGATCAACCTGAAATAAATGGACAGTTTTGATGAGGATAAAGAATGATAAAGATGTATCATAATGTATCCGGATCATTGGTGATGCTGGCGTTGACAGCTGCGATGCATTGCGGCAGAGGACCGTGTGGACCTCCGGAGGCAGCTCTTGGACGTGTGTGGCCAACTCAAAGCTGTAGCGAGATGACGTTCACATGGGTTCCAGCTCAGCGAATCCATCTGGAAGATTCTGGAAGCAGATTCATAGATTTAAAATGATTTAAATAGATTAAATATAGATTAAATATAGATTAAACAGATTTCAGATGAAGGGGTGGCACTTTCATCCGTGAGTCAGACTCCCATTTCACCAAGGAATTAGGATTTTTGTAGTTTGCCGTGGAAGTTGAAAGCAGCTGTATGTCAAGAATGCACATCCATGAACGATGTTGATCGTTTATACAAATGTAGGATATCATTTCCGATCCATTGTTTGCTCTGGATGGAGTCGTTTGAACTTGCATCATATGTAAAGCAAACAAACCGCTAAAGAGTTTCCAACAGACATCACCACAGTCACGCGGAGATTCTGAAGCGGGTGTTCCCCAAGATCAGGGACCCCAAATGACCCCAAATTCCCATAAATTCTCAATTCTTGGTTTGCGAGTCCAGTTCAGGAGGGAAACCCAACGGCTCCTTGGCATCCCCTGATTTTGGAGAACACTGAACTTGCTTTTCCTGGCATTTCGTATGCCAATTCATTTGAGGTCGTTCATCGCAATTTGCTGAGAGTCCGGACTCCTGTGATCAAATCTTTTGGGAATGTGAGCAGCATCCCTGTTGCTTTCAAGACTTTTCAGCTTCAGTGGGCGCGGAAACTAGCCGCAAGGTGCCCTGCGAAGTCAGTTCGAGCAAGAGGCGCTCAATGTCGCTTGCACATCCAGACCATCCAGCATCGTTCGCTTCAAAATGTGTTGCCCAAATCTTTGTTTGCAATTTTTACATGTTGTTTGCTCCTCACTTTTCAATTACTTTTCAGGCATACTGCCACACCCAGAATTATCTAAATTGAATCCTTCGCATGGTGATTCACATGTTGACCGACTTGAAATTTGCCTGGGCTTATCGCCAGACTCAGACGCAGCGCGTGCAACTGCAACGGCGACCATAAGGCACAAGTGGTTCAAGACCTTTAGATGAAGTTGAGAGAGAGAGAGCTGGGAGATATCTCCCATTCTTTGGGTTCGCGTCAGGAGTCCAAAACCAGGAGACAATGGTCCAATCTGCCAAAGCTATGAATAGGTTCCTACAACAAGAGTACCAGTCAGCGCGTCCTGCTTCCCAAACAATGTAGTAGCAGAGGTTGACGACTCACAGAAGATCTGTGCCCTATCAAGTGCTACAAAATTCCTGCTATGGTCGGAGTGAGTCTTAAATCCATTTAGAATATTTAGATCCCGGTCTTGAGGATTATCTTTGTTTTTTGTTGCTTTGATGCTAGGGCGGGGAATGTTCTGTGATGGAGGGTGGATTGGCGAAAGCTATCAGTGGAAGAGGATTTTCATCGTGGTGATGATTGTTGTTGACAGGTATTGTCATTCTTTGAGATTTGTTGTTCTTTTACGTTCTGACCGTGGCCTCAAGATGCCTCAAGATGATGGAAACACTTTGGTCAGCCAATTTACTACACATTGCATCGACAGGACAATGTATCTGGATTATCTCCCATCTCCGTCACCATCCGTCACCCTAAGCTCCTGACAAATGGCTGATCCTCCGCATCCAACTGATCCAGCTTTCGAAACCGTTGGAAGTTGGTGGCAGCTCCTGTCAATCCCTGTCAGTTTGAATCCCAGGTTTGAAAGTCTTCAACCGCCAGCGGCCTGGGGCATAGGCACCTTAGGGCTGACGATCCAAGAAAAAGAGGGCAGAAAATGCCGCTTCTGTATGGATCGCCATCATGTGTGAGGGGGATAACGTGTAGCACTCCGGCGATTTCTGATTATATAAAAGTGTCTTGCAGCACTGGAGCATTCGAGTCACCAAGACACCTCCCACCAGCTGCCACAGGCGCTGAGTGCTCGTCTGAATTCGCTGTGCAAAATTTGGTGCAAAAACCTTCAGCCTGCCGTGCTAGTCGTGGGTCATACATCTGGGGAGGGTGAAATAGCCGATGTTTGACAATATAATATATATATATATATACATTATACAAATATAATTTACATTTACATGATGGATGTATATATATATGGATGTATATATATATTCTTCATATACACAATATATATATATACATATTATGTGTTCTAATAGTCTATGGTTTGATCTGTTTCATTGCGTCAGAAAAATGAAGTATTCTCAAGGTAGTATGGTCTTCGTTTCCTGTTTCCGTTTCATGTTTTTGCATGGCATGTCTCAGCCTGCCGCCTGAATCACAGGCCTCAGACGCTTCTGAGTGCAGGGAAACAAACAAACAATGTGGAATGTGGTTTTGAGAGCTGGCTTTGGGATATTCAACCATGGTGTTGGCTAGTACTACGTTTGAACGGTCTGAGGCAGAATACCTATGGATACCGATATTACTTGTAGAGTACGGATCAATGAAGCAGATGTTTTTCAACCATACTGACAAGACGCCTCATGGCAACACATGTAGACTGAGTTTGCAAGGCAGTACACCCTCCTAAAGCGGTATTCTGCACGGCCGGTGGTAGAAATATTTGGATTGTTTGGGCAATAGTAACTATAATAACCTGTAATCATAGATGATTCTGAATGATTATGAATGTTATAGCTTCTCACATTTCTTACCGTCGCTGTGGAGCTGTTGCGGCTCGTTAAGACAGAGTCGCGAGCCAATGAAGGCAAGATCTTTAGGAATACATCATATTCTACCTGGGATTAAATATGGTTGAATCGATGCTTAAATGTACTGAGTATACCCAGTATGAAAATAGCGCTCTATATGTTATGATCGTGTAAGTGGCACTGGCTCTGATTTCAGAGCCTCCACTTGTCGTCCAGCAAATCCCACCTAGAAGTTCAGTCGCATTGGCCCTCTGAATGGGTTTTGGGCGCGGCGAAATTGCTGCGCAACTCTTCATGCAGGCCTTGACGAAAAGGGCAATAGCTGCTGTGTACCCCGCTTGCTTCCTTGTCTGTAGATGGTGTCCGTCTCACGCCTGGCTGAACATGGTCATTTCATGGGTTTGTTTCATGGTCATTTCCTGATGTTCCCATGTCCCATGACATCCCATGACGCCATACCAATACCGGCGACACGGCCTCAGATGTGACGATGCGATGGCTGTTGAGATGCCTGGTTTCTCCCATTGCATTACCCGGAAGTGTTTCTTGGGAGTCCGCTGAGTTCACCCAAACACACGATGAGCAGAAACTCTACCGCTGGAAAGTCTGGAAAGTCAAGAATTTGATGAACACGATTCATGATGTTTGATGAACATTGTGCATTGTTTGGGTCATGAAGTCAAGGAGATACAGTGGCAAGAAACAAACTTCATCCTTGGTAGCTCTGTGGTGGTGTTGTGCGCTATGATTTTTGGAAAACAACATTTGCATAAAAGAACCATGTTTAATGTATGTTCATCTCAGTGTGAGATTGAGGATATTGAGGTTGTGAAGTCTGGGGTCCCTTTTTGTGGCAGGCCAACCCACCAATGCCGACGTTAGACGTTTTCGGAGATGGCTAATGTCTTCTATTGCAACATCTTCAGAAGGGTGGCAATGCATGTCCAGTCCAAAACTCCTGTCTATCCACAAAGCAACCTTGTTGAAATGCAGCTTCATCAAGCATTTTGCTTCTGGGTTGGACAGCAGTTCGCTCCCATTGAAGCCATGGCTACAAGTAGAACCCAGAGTACATTCTAGAAGCCCAATCAATCAATCATTCAACATCTATATACGGGAACTGAGAGAAATGTAGTGCACAGAAAAATACTGCTAACCAGCAGGCACTCAGAAAATATAGCATTAGTTTTGCTTCAAGGAAAACATAATTTAAACTATCCTTAGATGCAAAGTTTGTCAAGCCACAACCAAGGCCTACACTGTCTGGCAGGCAAGAGCTCGTGGGAGACCCAGAAGGGAACGAAGGGAACGACCAACAGAGACCGGCGGAGACCGACGGCCTTGTTCTGAAGCTCCAGCTGAGGCAACGTCCATTTCTACACCTATTCTGACACTGTTCGGGCCGCAAGAGACAAAGGTCACCGGGGTCACCAGAAGTGGATGCTTCGATTCAGATGAGACGGAAGAAGTAGATAGGAGATAAATAGAATGTAGATGAATATAGTACAATAGCACCTTCATTTGCACAATTGCCAAGTTCTGGCTATTGGGTGTTTGGATTCCGGCAGTGCCTGAAAGTCTCCATCATATGGGATGGTATTTGGCATGTTGTCATCCGACACGAATGCCAGAAGTCCCAACTTGTGGATTTGCCGTGGTTTCAGCGAAGCCGTCTCACAACAAGTTTTATTCAGATAGTCCCATTCCCCGAACTGCACTGAGATCCCACATCCAGGGCTGTGTGCCCTTGCAGAAGTTAGCACCTCAGTTGAGGGCTCCTCCCAAGCCAGTGGACATGGGACATCATGGGGCCGCTGCCACGACTGAGGCAGCCTATGAACTGGGCCATGGCCTGCGGGTCATGGGGCTCAGCAAGAGGCTGGAAATTTGCAACCAGGGCACGCCATGATGATACAGAGATGGACGTACATGGTGAGCTGGGGCCAGTAATCCAATCATCATCAATGCGAGGCAATGCGAGGTGAATCGTCATCAAGCCAGGTCATATGAGATGGTTTGTTGAATTGTGGTGTGTTCATGATGCCATTTGCAGTATAATAATGTATAATATAGTATCAGTATAATGTCAATAACTCTGTATAAGATACATTTGCATATACATCGGCGGAGGGTTTTCCGCGTGCGGTTTCACACTTTGCTCAAATTGGATGATATGTCAACACGTTCTTTCTCCTGCGTTTTGCATGAAAATTCTTGGAGTGTTCAATTGGAAGGCAAAAACAGAGTAGTCTCAGGGGTTTAAAAATTGCACCATTTTCCCGGCATACGCAACATTTTTGGATTGTTCCAGTAGACAGAGCCATCTGCATGGAGTGCATTTTTGTGGCCATGATGCACCGCAGCACAGCGAGAAGATAAAACATCTGGCGGCAACTTCACAGGACCTCCTTTTGTATCTTTTGTCTTCTTCGCATCTGCCAAAACTTCCTCGTGTCTAGTTGTACAACATGCGCTAATATCATCTTCAGGACGCAAGTGCAAGGAACGTCAACACACTCGCTCACCCCAGAACCCATCCCTGCACGAAGCGGCCCCAAGCATAGCGTCATCTTCAACCTTAGTTGCCAAAAAGAACAGAAGACGCACGGTTTCCCAGGCAGCACATACATATTAATATTTATTTATAGTGTGTGCCATTGTTGACCAGGCCGGGCTACATTCTCATTCACAACCATTCGCCAACCCTCAAGTCGCGAGACCCAAGTGGCCCCATCGGTGTACCTCGATCGGATCATGACCTTAGAGGATCCCATCTGCCAACGTGACGGGATGTGACGGGCAAGGCATGACCTGAGTTCATAAAATGTCAAAATGTTCAAGGCATGACTTGTACTGTACTGTAAAATGATGTATGTTTTTTCTCTAAAGCATGGGACCTTGAAATTATGAATCTCCAATGAGAGCCTATTGAACCAGTCCCACCGGAATCGTGGCTTTGCATCCGAATCGTGGCTTTGCATCCGAGGTTTTTGATGCTACAGGAGGTGAACTGATAGCCATCCTGCAATATGTTTGCGGTGTGCACCACAAAATATGATGTTATGGTATCATGATATAGACATATGTGTCTATTAATCACATTTAATCATATGATATACGTATATATATATATACGATATGAGCGGACGATTTAAAATTGTATAGCAGCAGATTATCATGCCATGGGTCCTCTGTCAAAATGCCTGTTGACGAAACCTGTTCTTTTCCCTCTTGGGGTGAACATGCGATAGATTTGACCAGTGTGACGCACTGACCAAATTTGACTTGTGACTGAACAGGAGGACACCGAGGACACCTGTGATTTTCTGCTGTTGGAATCTGTGCATATTTGAATTTGTGCCATAGATCTGGTCGGCACAGGTCTTAGAGTATGAGGTGAGCAAAGGCCGTATCCATGAGGATGACATTGTAACGAGGATGCAAGAAGTACATAGAAGTACTCCGATTTCCGGAACTGGGAGTGTAAACATGGTTAACAAGTGTTTGGTCTGGTGGTTAGAAGAAAACAGGGCACGCTCACTTGGTTTGAAAATCGAGATATGATCTTCTGTCGTCCTTCCATTATGTTTTAGTTCCATTGTCAATAGCACCACTTTTCGGGAATGATAGCTGTGACTTTTGTTTCAAAAGCAAGTGGTTCCAATGGAGTGTTTTGGCAGTTGCCTACCGCCTGCAACCAAGCAAAATAAACTTACCAGAGTTTCTATCCACTGCCGTTGCATGAAGAGGCTCCACTGGAGCGGGAGTGGTTTTATCGTGTGGTTGCAAAGATGGTGAATCATGGCCTAGGAATCTCAAGACTAAATACAGTATGTAGACGGCACATTCCAGTTGTTTCCCTTCCACTTGCACTCGTTGATGTTTTTGTGCAAGATCAGTGGCTGGCCCGCCCAGGTCATTTTCTCAGATGGTCATGATGTCTTGCTGCAGGCCTGTCGCTTGCCATCCACCCATATAAGCTGACATTATGAGGCAGATCTGGAAGGCAGGTTTCACGGCAGGACTTGATGGACTGGCCCGGTTGTCCAAGCAAGAGGACTATTTTGAACCGGGATTTGAATGCTTCAGTAAAGTTTCTTTAGAAAGCCAGTGCTGAGAAAACTTCCAGAGGAATGTCACCCAGTCATGTTGGCTTGCAAATTGCAAACTTCATGCTGCAGCTGTCAATTATGCAGATACCTGGGCTAGGATGCGCAAAGAGTATACAGTTTATTTAATCCAAATTGTGTCGCCTCCGAACATTCGCCTTGCAAGACATCACCCTCAAGTCGGATAAATAGTTGGCAAAGAGACAAACTTGCATTCCCCGGATGGACAGAAAAGCAGGACAGGATTATATACATACTTTGTCGGACTTTGGGAAGATAGATATATGGCCCTGTTCACTTAGATTAGTAGGAAAAACTGCAGGCAGCGCCCGAACCCAGGCCAGAAAAGCCACAAGAAGTCTTGAGAAGTTCTCCCATAATGCTTGCTGCTTGCTGCTTGCCCCCCACGGGACCAACGCAACCGATTTGCCATGGCTTCCAATCAAGTTCCTGCAGAACTAATGGGATGCAGGGATTCCGACATAGACTTTGATGAAGCGCCTGAGATGCAAGATGCTGCGGTTCTGGGTAGGCCAGTGGAGAAAAGGACGCGATGTGTGGCGGTACGCCATTAGCGCATGTGGCACCGGGAATCCAGCCATTAGCGCATGTGCGCTCTAGCGCTGAATACTTTGCTTGAGAAAGGTCAAGAAAGACAGATTCTTCAGAGAATATGAAAGTAATATGTGATATATAATATATAAAAATATATATAATATATAAAATAATATATAGTATATAATATATAGAATATAATATATATATAATATAATATATATATAGAATATAATATATATATAGAATATTATATATATATAGTATATAATATATATATATATACATTTAACATATAATATATAATGTATAATGTACAATGTATAATGTATAAGATATAATATATATAAAATATAATATATAAAATATATAATATATATAATTAATATATATATATAATTAATATATATATATACATCATGTAGATCTCAAAAGACTTCAAGGCACGAGGATAACAGTTTCTGCCCATATTTGAGGTGGAGAAGAACCCCGTGATGAATTACTGCGCAAACTGTGTGAAATGCACTGCAGATCACTGCAGACTGACGCTGAGGACGTTCCAAAAGAACTTGTTGAGATCGACACGGCTGCGGAAGAGGCTCCGCCACAGGAACCTACAGCCCCCGAGCCTACTGTTATGGATCAACTCGCGATATTTTTGTCGGAACAGAACCTCGGATCGCAGTTGGCACTGAACCTAGCAGTAAGAGATCAATTGCTGCCAGAATCTGCCAGAATGATGGACATCTATGAACAGCTACTAATGTGCTACGATGTCATTCTGAGTATAAGAGTTTTCCCAAAAGCCAGACAGATTGTCTTCAGTCGATGTGTCATAAGCAACTAATAATAACAACGAGTGTTTTTGCTATTTCAGTGTTTTGTGCAAAGTTTCAAGGGGTTTGGGATGCTTAGGGCGGTATTTCAATGGTATTTCCGTATCACCTGATATCACCTGTTTTGGAAAACAGATGATTTGCTTCCAGGCCCATAATACGCGACGCGACGTAGTCCCAGGATGTCCCAAGAATTTCGGGTTGTTTTCCATCACGGCCACTGGGCGATGCCAAGGAGAGCTACCAGTGCTGAGATGTTGCGGGCAGTACCAGCTGAGAAAGTTCTGGAAAGGCCTTCATTTGGGATAATTATATATATTATATATATATATGATTATTTATAGATATTTATGGATATTTAATGATATTTGATATTGGAATGACATTGGATAGGTGATGGGCCTGCGTAGTTACCATTAGAATGAAGCACCTTTATAGATGGTGCTGGCTGACTCTCTCAGCATGAATCTTTGAGATGTGGAGGACCCTTGATCAGAAATCATTTCAATGAGACACGGACATGTGAATCATGTGCGATCATGTGAGCTGCTTGAAAAGGGCCAGTTGTGCTCCCGAGAGGTGTGGAACGCACCTGTGGTCGCAAAAGAGATCGACCTCTCAAAAGGCAGAGCTGTTCGAACACAGCAAACCGGTGACTTCCATTGATGAGTTCTGGAGCCACTCTTGGCATGGCAGACAGCGCTGGAAGGTTTGGTGCCTCTTGTTGCTTGCGCTGCCAATTTGTTCCAATTTGATCCAATTTGCACAATTTGTTTTGACGGCATCTTGTGATTCACTAGCCTGGAAGTCAACTGCTAAATTGTTGAGTTATTTGTGTCATTTGGATTTTCCAGTTTTAGTTACATGGTCTTCTGCCAACAATAAGACTAAGAAATGGGGCAGCGATGTGCAGCTGGCAGAAGTCATCTGACCAAGGTATGTCAAGAATGCATGGCCAGCGCTTTTTGTTAGCACCGCGACTGCCGCCCTGGTGGCTTTGCTCTTTGCTTTCGAACTGCTTCCAGGCTGGGTCAAGACCTCGAATTATGCGCCACCGGAGCCTCATGTGCCCCAGCTGAGCTACTTTTTTTTTAACATGAAGGGGTTTATACACGCCTTAAGCTGGATGTTGCTTTCGGTGTGGTTTTGCATGGCTGGCGTAAGGATTGCATAGGGTTGGCATAGGCATTTTTCAAGGTTCCAAATATTTTCCTGTTTGCGTAGGCGACAATTTTATTGTATTTCAAGTGCTTGTACATGATCGGCGTTGCAATCTCACGCTTTAAAATTGATTCAATGTTATCCACAAAAGGTTCAAAGGCACCGGGTTCATTCATGGATAATTAGTCGTCTATACGAGCAAATCGTGGAACTTGCCCGGCAGAGCAGCTATACAAAGGCAGCGGAGCAGCTTAAAGCGTCTTGACACGGGCGTTGGCCCTGCGTAGGCACACCTGCTCCCACTGTGGCCGCGTAGGCATTGCATAGACAGTGGTGTAGGCAAAGCTCCGGGCCCAGACAACAAAAAAAACACAGCTCAGCTGAACTGTGTTTGTTTTTCGGCATTTGTTGGGAAAGTTGGTTTTTGTCGTATTGCAACAAAGTTGTCCGAGTTGTCCATTGTGTGTGTGCGTTTGCTCAGCTTGAATGGCCGCCTTACACTATAATGGGTTCGGATGGAACACCTTTGCGACCTGACCCATGTGTGAGGTATGGTCAAAATTATCTTAGATTACTTTAGTAAGAGAGTGCTCCGTTGCGGTCTGGAAAGTGCACCAAACACTGTGTAGCGATAGGGTTGTTGTTGCTGTTGTTGCTGCTGTTGCTGTTGTTGCTGCTGCTGTTGTTGTTGTTGTGACTCGTTGTTGTTGTGACTCGTTGTTGTTGTTGTGACTCGTTGTTGTTGTGACTCGTTGTTGTTGTTGTTGTTGTTGTTGTTGTTGTTGTTGTTGTTGTTGTTGTTGTTGTTGTTGTTGTTGTTGACGAAGGACGTCTTCTTAAAAATAAGTGTAGTTAAGACGCCATAACCAAGCACAGCAGTCTGACTCATCATCTCGACCACGAGCAGGGCCATGTAGCAAGAGGGCCCAAAAAAAATGCATAATTACTTAGAGTATCCTATAGTTGCATATAATGTCCACAAATGAAGCTAATTTGCACAAAGTTGCGTACGTACCCCTAGGGATACCTTAGCAATACTGTACCCATTTGTTCCAAAAAATAGCCGCGGATAATAGCGTGTTATGCGTTTCAAAGTGAGGTTTCGCTATAGGCTGGGTACTTATAAAGTGGTTTATGATATGTCTTTGCCAATATGCCACAAGAACCTGCTCCAAGACTCCTTTGAAGGTTGGGGAGAAATTAGGACCATCATCAGTTGCGCTCATGGTGGGGCAAAGCTTCGATGACACCTCGAACACCAACTGTGCCAGTGCAGCCTCTGAGGCATATGGTGCTTGGGGTTGTTGGACCGGCGTATTGACGTACCTCTTGATGATAATCCTATGGAAGTGGCCTGGCAAAATTCATGAAGCCTGTACCAGTGACTCATGCGAGCAGGTGACCCCTATGGCTAATCACAAAGTCTGCCTGAAGCAGAATGAAGCCAATAGAATGTCACCCAGCTTTGTTGATGATCTACTTGTGGTGCCCAAGGTAGAGTGATATGCGATAGCACCACAAGGTAACCATATAATTATACAATATTATACAAACATACATGTACATATCTAGAATCTAGAATATAAATTTGAATATAGGATTATAATATATATATATATATTATTATATTATATACATAAATAGATATGCGATGTGACATAAATATATATTATATCCATACAAAATATTACAAATCATCCAAGGCCAAGAGCTGATGTTTTCGTGGACCTCTTTTGCATCCATCAGGCCTGGGGATGGCCAGGGATGGCCAGGGATGGCCAGGGATGCACAGGTGTTGGTCCCTGACCAGGCCAACCCACGGCTGAAAGCTGAAGGCCTCCTGAGCATTGGGGCAATTCTGAAGAATTCCGAGTCCATGTTGCTTCTTTGGGATGACACATACCTCAAGTGTCTTGGTCGGGTCCAGTGTCAAACCTTGGAGCTCCGTTTCTATCTAATGATTTGAATCCTTTGAAGTACTCCAGATGAATTGGTGTTCCATGTGGTGCTGCTGCGATCAGAAATTCCCAACGGAGCCCCCAGACCATCATGGCAGTCGGAGCTACTGTAACATTTGGGTCGTGTATGAGTAGTATCGCTGATCGCCTGTATCGGTATGTATATATTATATATTTGATATATGTATATTTAAAAACTATTTATTTATATAATTACATTTAATTTATAGTTTGTATTTGGGTTGTATATCGGTGAAGTGGAGCACACGACTACAAGGCTAGAGTTTAGGCATGTCGTCGAAATAGCATGACTGATTGGATATACTGTACCTCCCATGGTCGTGTTGCCGTTTCGCCGCTTCGCCTTGATCGTCCAAGGAGATTGTGGTGTGTTTTCGAGTTGGCCGGCTTCTTGCGAAGTCACCAGGCCCAAGGAAGGCTGGTGATCAAACCCACCATCCTTGGACCTGCGACCTTTTGGAATGTCATTGCGATCACCTTCGTCGTGAGTACTGACCTGGTGTTTTCCGGAATACCCGGTGGAAGCGTCACGCGCTTCCTTCTGGTCTTCATCACAACCTGTGCAGTTGCCTGGCCCATCCTTGTTTGGCGAAGAGGCATGGTCACATTGAAACGCCAGCTTGCTGAATTTACATTCGCCAAGACCGTTTGCCATTGCTGCATGCGCGGGCATATCGATGACAACGGTGGACCTATAGAATGCGACCGAGAACTTTTAGGAACTAGCATTTGCAACTGGTTCGGATCGGTCGATGAGTTTGACAATTTGGTGACCCGGCAGAACATTGACATTGAAGTCCTCAAACTGACCACCCAAAACATCCAAAAACATCCAAAAACATCCAAAAACAATCAACCCAATTGATCAACGAATAATAACGAATACAAGTCGATTTTTGTCGAATCATGCGCCTGAGGTTGACATCCTGCTCCATGCTAGCCAAGTTTTCTTGTTTAATGGTTGGAGGTCTTGCGATGCAACTTTCACAAGTTTCTCTCTTACCAAATTTCTTTCACCTTTCCACAGGGCCCACCATGCATTGCAACTGCTCTGACAATCTTTTTAGCACCTTGTGCTACTGGGTTACGCGTACCGCACTACCGAGCGCTAACACTACATAACACTACCAATTTCTGCAGCCTCTCTCATAACCCTTCTGGCACGCTACCCTGCGGAACAACGCGAACCTTCCTTTCTGGACTCCATTGCCTATCAACCGTGCCGACTCCTTTTGCGACAGACCAGGGGCAGGGCATTGATACCCCACAGCAACAGATTTGCCTCGAGCAAGTGACCGATTTGCCTCAAGGAGATAAGGTGTCAGCCGCTGTCAGGAAAAAAATCCTCCGAGATTTCCTGCCTTGGCAGCTCCCCCAGACCATCCCAGACCCGGTAGTCTCACCCAAAGCCTGGCGAACACGAGCTGAAAAGCTGTGTGCTGCTGGTCTTCCTTCCCGCCTTCTCAGGTATGTTATGTGAACACAATGGCTTGATTTGCCCTGGTTCATAGGATTCGCGACAATTTGAGCTGTCAACAGACTCCTCATTCTTGACCCTACATTGGCTTGACAAAGGCTTCCATTCCATCTCGGCCGATCGAGGTGCGAAGCGACGTCGAAGCAGAACTGAAGAAGCAGCTAGCAGTGTCTCCGTTTGGCTACACGTGACCTGATCTCTACGCTTAGAACTTGAGAGTGGTCAATTTTTTCAGTTTGTTCGTTTCCAACCAGTCCAGATCGTGGGGGGTGGAATGATTTCAACTTTTCTTGAACGGAATCAAAAATAATTTGTGAGTGTTTGACGTTTGACGACATTTCTCGGCGAACAAGTTCCTGACCATTTTCGTTGCCTCAAATTGAAGAGGTGGGTGCTACATGCTGGAGTTCCGATTCTGTGGGCTCAAGGCTTTGACAAAGCAGCTGCCATTTTCCGACATGGCGATGTTCTTTGGAGTTTGGCAATCTTCATATCTGGACTGGCATGGTACTTTCTGGTGATTCCCATCAATTTTGGTACTTTGGAGTTGTTTGCAGCCAGGATGGATAGACTGGCATTGGGTTGGGGCTGTCGGAGTACTGCTTTGCTGTTGATCTGCCAGTGTTGCGTTTATCTCTCCTCACACCTTTCGTACTATGCGTGCTTCGAAACTTTACCAACTCCCTTGCTGGCTGTCCTTGTGCATTCAGCATGCGCAGTTTTGGTGTTTGTCCTTGTTTGGAATTGCAAGAAGCGCTGATTGATTTGATTGATGATGCCTGCGTACCTTCCACTGGAAGCTCCCACGGAGAGTGGGCCGCTTGCGGTGGACACAACCACGCAGGATCCACGCAGTAATTGGCAGCAGTGCAACCCAACGGTTTCACTTGTTTTTTTATGTTTTTTTTTGCCGTGTCCTGTTTCATTCTACTTGGTTTGAGAATTACAAGATCTGTGCATGGGCACGGGGGATAATATTAACAATCCATCGATCTGTCGGGAATCCAGCTGATCTTGTAATTTCAACCTTGAGCCAACAGCGCGTCGAAGATGCCGCTTCAAGGGCTCAAGATCCTCAAATCGTGTGGCTGTGCAGGTGCCTCCCGGAGTCAAAACAATTTAAAACTCAAATATAGACAAGATTCCCGCAAGAATGGGTCCATAATGGTCCACCCGTTATTGCCAGGTTGTTTCGTCCAGCTGAAGCAGAAAGGGGCGAAAGCTTGAAATCCTGAATTCGAGTGGAATGGCATAGCAGAGTGGGAGTGGGTTGATCATGTGGTCGAGAACGGGGTGGCAACCCATGAGTTGGATTTGCGTGATGTTTGGACAGAAACCTTGCTTAAGTTGTCAACCGGTTTCAATTGAATGGTGTAAAACCCTGCTCCCTCAAGACATGGGGACAACCTCCGTTCAAGATTCGACAAGTACAGGACCGAACAGACCAAGAACATTCGATGTAGCAAGATTATATAAGATTATGCAAGATTCAAGTTCGCCTTTCTGCAAGCATGTTGCTTCTTGGGAATCCTTCAGTCTAGACTCTAGAAAGCAGATGGAAGTACTTGTCGGACGTTTTCTTTGAATGGATGATCCCTGCGCATGAGACTGTAGGCCCTGGCATTGCATCAGGAGATGAAAAAAAATGCAAGTGATGAAACCAATCCCGTCCAATCCCAAAAGAAACGTCATTTGGGTCAGATGATCACATATTTTGGAATTGATGGTTCTTGTGAACGATAGAAATGGTCGATAGTCAAGTATGAGTTGCTGCTCAGCCCTTGTGCATTGATCAAGCTATCCGTGCGCCAGCAATCGCTTGCGGAGATTTTCGTGGCCTACAGTCGATTCCCTGACTGGTTGGGGCGCTCTTTGATGTGACAAGGTGAGTTTGTTGGACATCTGTTGGACCAATGAGTGCTTACTGGACCAAGGAAAAAAACAAAACAGAAGTAGCTCCAGGCTCCAAGTCGATTGCAGGATCTCATCTCAGTTTGCCGCAAAGGTTTCGACATGGATTGAAAAAATAAAGCATGGAAAAACACTCTGTGATACTGTGTAGTGTTTGGTGAAATATTACTTGCGGCATTGGTGCTTCCCGAATTACTGCTGGATACTTCAGGGATTTCTCCCGGAACATCCCCATGACCTCAAGCTCATGGGCAGTCCATGAGCCATGAACATCCATGAAGATTGCAGGATGCAGGTGGGAAATCATGTGGTTGTAACATGTTGTAATCCATTGAAACCCTGTAGGGACCGTCCTCCAGCTTTCTCGAAGAGATCGGCTTTTGCTACCCGAAGGATGTCCATTTGTTCCGTGAGTATACACTACCCTACAACATGTCCTTCGGCCCATACAATACGCGTTGCGTTTCAACTGCTGAACCTGCTGATGCTTCAAATGACAAAATAAGCATTTGAATGCATTGGATCATAGAATTGTCAAACAAATTGAGCCATTTGAAGTTTGGCTCCTGTTTCCAGATGGAGTTACAGAAGTCTTCGAAACCTACCACGGATATAAATACGGATATATAATGATTTATATTATATAATGCCACGAAACAATTTTTTCTGCACCACCACAAGACACCGAGGCCTTATCTTATCTCTGGGGAACGCAATTGCTGGCCTTGGCCAGAACTCTCAATACCATTTGTGGCTTGGGGTGCCGATCCCTGATCTCAATAGATTCGGCCATGTTCTAAACTCATCTACAATTGCAAATCCTAGTGGGCTGCATTGAAAGTATGCTCACTATTAGAAGAATGGTGCTGCAGTCATCTTGAATATATGTAGATAGATATATTGCTTCTCAACTTCATGTTCTCGATCATTGCTCATTGCTCTTGCGGTTGTTTACTTCTAATTGCTACAGGATGATCATTGATAGGTTTCATGCTCAGAATCTGCAACCTCCATGCAATGCCAAGGCCACATACCCATCCATCACATGGGACATGGGATTTGAACGACCAGGAGCGCGGAGCTCTGGGTGCTGTGTAAACCCCTCTGGTCAAGGTTCTGAATCTTTGGAGGGGTGATTTGGGATGAAAACAAATGTTGTAGGCCTGGATGGTCCAAAAATGTTCAAAATAAAAAATCTTGACGAAGGTCCGGGAGTCACACTTTGAGCTGTCAGCGTTGGACTCATTGGTACAGCACGTATAGCCAGGGATGTTAGACATTTCAGAGATGTTTGGTTGGCAGGGTCAAGTAGAAACCAGGAAAGATATAGGCAAGCAGTGTCAGAAAGCGGGGTTGGAACATTGCCAGGAGTAAGCAACAATTCTTCTCGGCTGTCATGTGGAATCACAATTATGTGTGGAATCGAAGAGTATCGAGACCAATTTCGCTTTTAGTGCTCACGGCATCTTGCAGATATGTTAAGGTTCTCGTACAGTCAATGGTTTCCAGCTTGAAAGCAATCCTTTCTTTGGTGCCATATTGGCGGCCACCATTTGATCAGATCCCTTTTGCGAACCAGTCATGGACGATAAACCGATGGATCAGGCGCACTCAGCAGCTTGGGGAGCGGGAGAATGAAGGTGAGGTGAGAAGCATAAAATGCATTAGGAAGTAGGATGAGGATGACGAAGACAATGGTGACAAGTTGTTGTGGACTGCAGCTGAAAGAAGTTCTCCCCTCTACACTGTGGTCATTACAATAAGGATTGTAATTTAATTTGTTTTTTGGGGGGGGTCTGGAGGCTTGGCTTTTGGCTTTTGGATCAGGACCATCTTAGGGGTCTGTAAAAGAAGGGTATGTGACATCCTGTAAATTTGCAGGGGGGATTTGTTTGTAAAAAGTAACTGGGAAATAACTGCAGTCACTGGAGGAGGGGGGCCCAAAAAAAAATTACCCAAAACGTTCAAAATGGTCATGTTTTTGATATCTACTCGTATTGTGTCAAGGTGGTCTCAGGCGAGCTCTGACCTCTTGACCCCTATGGAACCTGTGGAGGGGTCTTTAGGGTTTCAGGCCCCGAATCTCTAATTTTAGGGTTTGGATGGTTTCGGGATTTTAAGGTTAGAAGAAATGTTTAGGATCTGGGAGCCATCCTCAACCGTAAGAAATCTTAAAGAATTGATTCTTCTTGCTTAAGGTTTCGTCCTGAGCCCTGTGAAGGGAGTTTTCTTCTTTATGGTTTCAACATGATCAAACAACATCCAGAACCATTAAAAAAACGAAACGGAAGCTTGCTCAAACGTGTGAGACCATGATACTAGTGGCGGAAAATGAAAGAAATATATAACATCATATAACCCGGATCGTCCTTGACTTCGGACACCTTGGCCATCCTTGGAGTAAGGTTCCTGCCTGAGGACTTCTGTCGAATGATTCGAGGAGATGGTCCATACCCGTGTCGCACCAAGAGATTGAGAGTTCACGTTTTCAAGAGTTCACTTATGGAAGGGTGGAATTGTGATGAACTGTGGAATTTGAAAGACTTTGGCAGAAACTTGTTAAAGAAAATCATTCTTGTAGCGGGGTTTGGTTAAAACGTTTGCCTTTTGGTCCCCTTTATATAGACATTTTAGAGATGTTATTGAGCAAGTTGAGCACATTCTAGCACTTTAGTCTGTGTGGTTGAAAGATGGTCGGTCGCTATTCAGGGCAAGACATGGCCAGACAATTACTTCCTCAAGGGGACATGCATGTGACAGATTGTGACACAAGGAGCAAGGTCTATAGTGGTCTATATATGCGGATCGAGTTGATTTATTTACTGGTACCAGTGGAGTACACTTGGACTGGCACAGCAATGTGCATTTGGGACCCAGTCTGACTCCCAACCGAGGTACCCCAACATTGGTTTGTCCATGGCTCCAGCAAAGCGCTTCATAGAGGTGCTGAAAAGGACAGACCAATGGACAGGTGGTTGCTGGCGGACGAGACTTGTCCAATAACTGCAGGATGTTCTGGTCGCTTCCGGATCTTTATGCTTTGTGAGTCTGGTGAGTCTGGTGAGTCTGGTGATGGAGCAAATGAGTCAAATGATGGTAATGATGTCAAATGTAATTTCTGAAAGGTCACACCAATACTGTTCAAGGATGTTCAAGGCATGTGTCGGGTCGAATTTGAGATTCGTACGCAACAACCCATTCCCAATTTCATTCCCAACCCCTTGACTGCAACTTCGTAGGAACAACAAGATCGTGCTTGAAGAGGAGATGAATGATCAAGGCGTATCTCTTTGGGCCAAGCGAGATCGATCACTCAGAATAACGAAAGATAGTGAACTCCAAGAGCCCAAGACAAGTAGACGAGTTTTGTTTGACATGTTGTCTTGCACTTTACAAGTGGCCGCAATTGAGGCAAGCAATGAGACTGCTGGGATCCATGATCCGTCTTCATGATCCGTCTATTTTCAACATTTTCATTGGATGAAACTCAATGCACTGTAGACTAACTTGCTGATTTTGCTGCCGTTCCTTTGCTTCAGAACGATTCCGGAGGATATAAATTTAAATCAACGGCGGCAAGACCCCACTTGGTACTTTCATCATCTTTCATCAAATTCTATCAAGTTGTCTTCGGTTCAATGGAGGCGTTGCATTAATTTTTAAAATGCCGTGATTTTTTTTGGTTTTCATATGGTTTTCCCATTGTTCGGATCACTAGCAGCTGATTTGCAGGTGCTATGTGGTTGGTGATCTTCCGCTATGCTGAGGAGTTGAATATCCAGATAGACCAACATGCAGAGGCCTGGGCAACCCTAAGATGGTGGTTGGTTGATCCTCACCTGCGCACATGTTGTGAATCTTATGCTCATGGTTCTGGGTCAAGCTTGAAACCGAAACAGAAGAGAGGAGACACGCGAATCCAGATGTTTGATTTGTTTGGGACATGTTGTCGATACATTGGGAGGATCGGAGACTATTGAGCTACGCTGGACTAAAGTTGAAGTGGACCATCTAGCTAGCAGCCCATGTAGAATAAACTCAGGTGCTATCCCCAACAGCTTGAAAGCTTCTGCGTTTTTGCCATAAAAAGTGCTTACTTATATGCCATAAAAATTAAGTGTTTATGCCATAAAAAACATCAGAACCCTTTGGAATTTCACAAAGCATTTGCACCAGAACCCTCCGGAACCTCACAAGGTACTGTATCTGCACCGTAACCCTCCGGAACCTCACCAAGTACCTGCACTGGAAACTTCCGGAACCTCACGACGAGGTATGCACCGGAACCCTCCGGAACCTCACAAGGTATCTGCACCGGAACCCTAACCGCACAGAACCCTCCGGAGCCTCAGCAGGTATCTTCACCGGAACCCTCGGGAACCTCACAAGGTATCTGCACCAGCCAGAACCCTCCGGAACCCCGGAACCTGGTCTTGAAGCTGCACCGGATTGCTCCGGAGCTAATCTGGGCTAAAGACCCCATAGACAAGTTTTGCTGTTGGGGAAAATTGATGCCAGTGTGAACGTGCACTTTTCTTGATTCGGACATGAGTCAATTAGATCATATTAGATCCAATGATCCACCTGTCGTAGGCCACCGGCATTTCAACGTGCCATCTCGGTCACCCAGTGTTGGAATAGCGTCAGGATGGACTTGTTCAAAAGTTTGCAAGCTATGTACAATGAATCCAATGAAGAAACTGCAATGGAGGAAAAAAATCATTGAAGCTCTGCTTTTCACACCGCGGAAACTTCTCCATCAGCTATCCCTGCAAGCATCGGCTCAAGCACGACCGCTGAGCGACCGCTGCAACGCAGGTCTTCCTCAACATGTTGGAATACAAAGCCGGCGATCTCGAGCGCGAACCCTGCGACAAGACCTGGCTCCTCGGCATGGCATTGGTCTTGGGGATAAGGGTGAAAGACCGCCAAGGGCCGTGGCAACAGAAAATCCACGAACATGTCATTGCGAATACCATTGAATGTCCTCCCAATGTTTTGTGATTTCAATCCCTTGCAGGCCACTCTACGGGTGGTGACAGGTGTCATGTGGTCGATTTGTGGTAGACCATAATGCGTTCCCATGGTAGTCACCTCACAAGGCACAAGGGGTCCTTGAATTGATCGCAAGCAAAAATGGGAAATCCATACAGTAGAGTCAAAGACACATGAGATGATTCAACATATCAGGTTTTGGACTGGGTACTGGATAGGAATCACATTGCAGCAACAGGCCGGTCTCAAGATTTGTTCATGTTGCCGTTGTTTTACTGTTTGATGGGGTTCTGATTACTTATTTTGTTTGTCGTTTGTCTATTCTATGGCGCACTTCACTGTGAATGACGGTACAAGGTTCCGCGGCGCAGGCGGCTTCGGGTGGGCGCCTAAGAAACCATGGTACTGGTAGTTGGTGGATATGCCCTAGCGGTTGGAAAAAAGGAACCAAAATATAATCCAATACACTCCAGAACAATCCAAAACGGATCAACATCCTTCTCGCACCATTGACCCGGCAAGTTTCACCAGAAACCACAGTGACGACATCGGTCGACATCTTGCACATTCTTGCACCATGACGGCGACTCGCTAAGGCGGCCACCACGGAATGCCTTGACCAACACAACTCCGGGCATCTTGCACTTCAACGGACCTTCTCATGAGGCTCTCCAAGTTCAATCAATTTCACAAGATTATCCAGCCCGACTTAGGCTATTTTAGACGCCTGCCGGAGGTTTGCCTGAGTTGAACTCTTATTCAACAAAACAAGGCAAGCAAAGAAATCATAACAACTGGAAAGTGGATTCCTCTTCTCTTGCACTTTCAGCCTGACAGCCAGATCCTGGGCCCATGTTGATCATGTTGCTTTTGTTGTATATCTAGAATATCGGGTTTCGATCTGGGCGAAGAGGACACGTCCATCCTTCTCAAGAAGGATCTGGCGAAAGGGGACATTAAGAACAGCATATTTGACTGTAAAAAAGATGTGTTTTATCCTTAACACAGCTGTAATCTCCAGATGTTGATCGGACTTTCTTGCAAACTCAATGCTGTCAGGATGGAGTATGGCCCAGCTGCTACCATGTCATCAATGGAAAGTTGGGGTCTCAATGGGTCTCATATCCCGGTGGCGGTGAGAGTCCAATTGGGCGGTCAGGACTTGTACATCAGTTTCCTGCTGGATTCATGAATCTGCTGTAATTTATATAATCATCGTAGTCATTTTATGATATTTGGAATCCTGGAGCTTGTGGTTGCGAGCAGCTTGTTTCTTACATCAATATGCTAATATGCCAATATTTGTGTGTGTAACAGTTTCCAACAGGTGAACTGAACCTTTTTGAACCTGCCACAAAACTAGCCCAGCTTGCTGACAGGTTCCGAAGAAAAGAGCACGGCCACGCGTTCTACGATATAGATCATGACATTTTGGTTGGGCGCTGAGGAAGTGGAAGCTTTGCTTGGCCTTTCATGCACTCTTTTCGCTTCATCGCAGAAAAAAGATGTTTGCAAACATGTGAAGGCAGGCTTCTTTGATGGTGAAGCTGGTAATGATTGTGATGGCGATGCTGATGATGCTTGTGATGATGGTGGTTATGGTGAAGGTGATGGCGTTGGTGAATGGGAAGATTATCAAGATGATGATTACGATGATGATGCTGGTGATGATATGCAATAATCCCCCATGTATAGCTCTCTATAAAGTGGATATCCTTTACGTCTATAAAGTGGGATTCCGATCGCCACTTTATACACCGAACATGGGGAATAAATCCGTGTTTTGCGCAAAAAACATGCCCTTGGAAGTCCCTTGGACCTGGCAGGATGACTTGATACAACGTTGGCTTTCCAGTTTATACCCCGCCGGTTTCCCACAAGGAGATGACTCAATATATGCGGCAATGCATTTTATAGACCGTTGGTCCCTTCAAAGAATGGCCATAACACGTCGCACCATCCACTTTATATAAACATGTCTCCCCAATGGTTTCGAGCCAATATTTTTCTATTGGGGCTTTATACATGGCAAAGCATTTTATAGAGGGAAGATTGCCCTTTAAGAAGGGAACTTTTGCTGCAGCCATGGCATTTTATAGAAAGAAAGTTGCTGCAGAGCATTTTATAAAGTCATGAGATGCATCATCCAAGCCACTTTATAGAGCTGAACTTCTAGCAAACAATTTTACAAAGAGCAACGCAACGCCACCCGCGCCAGCAGTGCCGAGCACAGGCCGGATCAACGGAGAACCGATGCCATGGAAGAATCTGAAACAGTTCCTTGCTCAATGTGCAACCGCATATAAGCATGAAAACAGTCCGTAAAATCGACAGGCGCCCCCGCTCCTGCGTCCAACGGCAGCAAGCTCAGACACGACAGAAACGAATCCAGAACAGTCGTCTCAAACCAACAAAAAACGAGACAACACAGCAAACGTGAAAGGAAACCGCCAGTGGGCCACAAGTAACCACTCTCATTTCATTGCCCCTGCGCCAGGGACCAGCGCGACGACCCCACCCGCGCCAAGCCGCCCGAGCCCTTGAAGACACACGAAACGAAACGAAACGAATGGTCCTTGGCCTGTCTTCTCAGTAGGTGTAAAATGAAACAGGGCAGATCACATCTTCTCACCGGCCTTGGTCAACCTCTCGTCGCGTCGTGGCTGTTTCTGTCACTATCAGGCACGCTCCGTCCTGTGGGCCCTGCACCGCCCTCAGTAATGTTGGATCGACAGAGTGACGGCAGAAGAAGTCCGAACGTATCATATTGGCGTTGTCCCTGAATTTCCGCAAGCCCAGTCCTTCCTTGACAGGCGCGGGGCAACGCGGTCACGCGCGAGAGGCGCGCGCGAGAGGCGCGCGCGGAACCACGTCAAAGAGGCATCGACACACAATCTTTTTACTTAAAGTTGCCTGAGACCAACAGAAACATTTGCAGGCGGCGGCAGCGAACAAGCGGCCAAAGGCAGCTTGCAGCCCAGCACAACCGGTGGTCCCGGCACAGATTGCAGAAGCCAAAATTCAACAAGGGGGGCAAAATTTTAAAGCCAAAATTTCAAACGAGGGCCCGCCGGAAGCAGCACCGCACCCGCGGACCCACAGTGCTCCTGGCCACACATGCCAGGCAAAGGCGGCACCGCCCCGCCGGATTAGCTGCATGGCTGCCGCTGCACGCAAAGTTGGTTTGCCGGATCCTCAGGGAGACTGAGACCGAGGAAACATGAGAGTATTCAAAATACGTCCTGTTTGGACATCGCCTCCCTGTTCATTCGCCAGGGCTTTGGAACTTGGAACAGCTTGTTCCATCGACGCCAAACCCTCTGCTACCAGAGAACGGTGCAGCTCTGGTAGCACAACTGGCGCGGGCCTCAGCCCGCTAACCGCAAAATCAGAGAGCGGCAAGGGCGACGCGCACCGACTTGCGCCAACCGAGGCGCAAGCCCTGGGTGTCTTCAAGGATGCAGTCCAAGCGTGGCTCCCCGAGCTGCACGCCTGGCTGCTCCTGAAGCCGGTGCATCCGGCCCTGGATGCGCCAACGGCCGAGGCCGATGAAACTAGATGAAACACACAAAAAGAAAAAACAACAGACAGTCAACGCTCCGCCGTGCAGGCAACACGGGTGGCACGGCAGGCAGAAAAACGGGCTGAGAAAAAACGGTTGGAGGAGGAGAAACAAGCAGAGGCTCGGCCGGCGGAAGAATTAAGAAGCTGTCCTGTCGCGAATGCAGCCAGCCAGCGGACGCGGCGCCGCAGCAGGCGAAACGAAAGAGCCAAGCTGAGAAGAACAAAGCCCGCAACAAGAGGCGCAGAGAGTTGCGCCAAGAAGCACGCCAAAGCCAGGACCCTGAGGCGCGCGGGAAAATCGGGAGAGCCCGAGACGCCCGGCGCGTCGCCGACGCAAACGCCAGGTCCGGCTCGCACGCGTGGCCGCCCTGGAGAAAGACAGGAAAAGGAAAGCCCAGAGCTCAGCTGCGCCCCCAAGAGAAAAAGAAAGAAAGCAAGGAAAGAAAGAGAAAGAAAGAGAAAGAAAGAAAGAAAGAAAGAAAAAAAGAAAGAAAGAAAAAACGAAAGAAAGAAAGAAAGAACGAAAGAAAGAACGAAAGAAAGAAAGAAAGAAAGAAAAAAAGAAAAGAAACAAAAGAAAGGAAGAAAAAAAGAAAGAACGCAAAGGAAGCACGAAAAAAGAAGAATTTGGCGAGAGCTTGACGCATCACTAAGGCGGACAAGGGTAAAAAAGCTGGAGAAGACCAACACGCTTTCCCAGAGGCAGAGGCCCCCAGTCACTCCTTGCCTCCGGGCTGATTGGTCTTGTTCTGGCAGGTGCCAGCCCCACCGCCGCGGAGGCTACCCACGGTCTTCTCCTCAGTCAGACCGACTTCAACCGACGGAGAAAAAGGAAAGCACCTAAAAACAAAAAACGTGGACAGATTGCTGACACGGAAGCATCACGCGATGGATAGAAATAGCAACGCCTCGTACATCCCGAGGACGAGGAAGTAGACGCCGAACTGGCTGTGCCGGGCTTAGCAATAGAGCGCTGGAAAGAGAGAGACAAGTAAGGAGAGAGAAAGAAAGAGAGAGAGAGAGAGACGAAAACAGACCTCGACACAGACACACAAACAGCCGCCAAACGATTTGCGTATACGCAGCCAACCATCAATGCCAGGCCGAGTACGAGCGTCTACAGCAAAAGGAAGAGGCTTGCACAACATACCCTGATTACCTACGAAGCATTTTGACACATTAAGTCTTAAGTTAATGCCAAAGCAGACAGTACGGAGCAGCCGAATTCAGCACAAATCACGCGTCATATCTCGAATCTGACCACGCCACTGCAGGCAGAAGTCCGCGAAGCGAAGCGGCGGAGTCTCCACGACGACGACCCACCTCTCGGCGATGGTTCGTCGCGTGGCAGCCAGAGCCTCAGAATGGTAAAAAGAGAGCCCCTGAAAAAATCCCCTCTATAAAGTGGCCTGTCCGAGTTACGCCCCTGAAAAAAACCCAAACGATGTTGGTTGGACCACTTTATACCGGCTCCCGAGCAGAGAATGCCTCTATAAAGTGGCCTGATCGGGTTACACCCGTGAAAAAAAAACAGCTGATGTTGTTAACGACGTCGATATCGATATTTGATGATATTTGTTTGGCTGTCGGTTTCGTTCGGTTTATATTTTTTTTTGGTTTCCCGTCAATGAGATTGATGATATTCCCGCAAAGTTTGAACGTGGCCCCTCAACTTTATACAGAATCATGTCGATGTTTCCATCGACGTGATTAAGAACACCATTGATATTACAACCATCGCTGTTTAGTGGGTAATCCACATTATAGTACCACTGTTCGACACAAGTATTATTGTTTTGGATGTTGGACATCTCACTTTATCGAAATGGGAAACGTTCACAATTACCCTCAAAAACCCACATCGACTTTTATGTTTTTTTACGTGGCTAGGCGACTTTATACAACGTTGGCTTGTGACTTTATAGCCAAAACATTTTGGATTTCCACTTTTACACCCCCATATTCTGTATAAAGTCGGCCCCAAAGCATCTAGCAATTTATACATGGGGGATATGTAATAGTGACGGTGCTGATGGTGATGGTGATGATGATGGTGGTGGCGACGGTGATGATGACGATATTGCCTGGCTGGATACTATTGACATCTATCAATATCTACTGACATGTCTATTGACATCTATTGACACTAATGACAATCGACAGACTTGACCCTGTTAACCTGTTTGACACGTTATTGGCCTTTCTGACACGAATAGCCCGTTCGATGCAAGCGCTGATCGAAAATCAGATTAAATCTCGAAAGGAACCTTACCGGATTTGCAACAGGCATTTCTCGCTGATCCCCTTAATTGAGAGTGGCTAGTGGTTTTGTTTGATAACATTTCATTGTTGTGATTGGTTGGTTCACAGCGTTTTCCGTGCTATATACCTTGTTTTAAGCTGAACATGAAACCTGACATCACGAACCCCTTCCAAAGTTTCTACTGTAGATATATCACCATTAAATTGTTGCCCCATGCCCAAATGATCATGTGCTTGTTTTAGGGTGAAATTTGGAGCAGAATTAGATTCTGGCTGAGGTTGGAACCGACAACATTTGCGACTACAGTTGGTATGACATTCATAGTTTTCATGTCCCGGCTCCAAGTGGGGATGCAGACGGGACCATTTGAGTGATTTTGAGACGGGACCATTTCATGTGTGTTCTCTCGGTTTGTATGTTCACTGAATGATGTGGTGCGCTTCTTTGAGTTTCAGATGCACCTCGTTTGTGGCCTGGTCAGACATCCCCATGTCTAGCTGTGCTGATGGAGAGGCGCATCCATTGAACCACTACCAAGTCGACTTCCTGGAGGATCGGATTTGGGAAAGGCATGGAAAGGCAACGATCCTCTGAAGTCACGAAAGGTACCCTCTGGTAATTTAACATAGCTATTGAAAATGGTGATTTATAGTGGATTTTCCCATTAAAAATGGTGATTTTCCATAGCTATGTTAAATTACCAGAGGGTAGTGAGTGTCGGTCACCAGAGTTCTCCGTTCTTTCGCACGTTTTCTTTTCAGGGCAGAGGAGCGCAAAGGATTGACTTGTTTCGTGAAGGGGATTCATCACTTCGGAGTGGGGCAAATGGTCGCGGATGGTTGCCGTTCAACTCCTGGTAATGCACCTTGCTGCTACCAATCGTGAGAGGTTCAAAGAGGATGTTGCATGCAATTTTAGGTTTTTGTTGCCTTGTATGGTTTCCTTGTTGGGGGTTTTATTATTTTGGTATACATCATAGCCTCATAGCTATACGTAACTCTCATCATCCCTCTCATCTTCATCATTGACAGCCTCCTCGTTCTTGTCCTGCATTCTCATCCTCATAGTCTTGGTCATCATCCCAATCAGTGTTGCCTAACAACATCAATAATATCAATAGTCATCTCCATCACCATCATAATCACCAGCAGTCGCCATCAGCATCGCCATCATCATCATCATCATCATCATCATCGTCATCATCGTAGTTCATATTTGTATTATTATTATATATATATATATAATTATATATATGCCTTCTTCCCATTATTAAAACTCCCCCAAATAAAAAAAGGATTGGTGTGGCACTTCCATTTTTTTTTGGTTGGGCACAATTGGATTCTTAATTGTTGAAATTGAGAATCAATAGGAGAACAGGATGGTGAAACAATGGATTCAACCCCCTATTAATAAAATAGATTGCCATCTGGAGGTTTTTTATTAGGGTCCCATCTCACAAGTTTTTTTCATTTTTTTAATTAAAGTGTTCATTGGAATATTAGGGGAAAGCTTCGAAATCCAGTTTTTGGCAAGATTTTATACAGATTTTAATAAGGGATTCAATCAAATTTGAAATCAAGTTGTTTTATTTTTATTATTAAGGTTTTCATTGGAATATTAGGGGAAAGCTTCGAAATCCAGTTTTTGGCAAGATTTTTTACAGATTTTAATAAGGGATTCAATCAAATTTGAAATCAAGTTGTTTTATTTTTATTATTAAGGTTTTCATTGGAATATTAGGGGAAAGCTTCGAAATCTAGTTTTTGGCAATATTTTGAATATATGTTAATGAGGGATTTATATAATCAAATTTGAATTCGAGTTTTTTAATTTTTATTATTAGGGTTTTCATTATTAGGGGCACCCTAATACAAAATACACCCTAATAAGAAAAATGGATCACCGTGTTTGCCATTTTGGGTGGGGCGTTTTAGTAATAATAGGGAGAGAGGAGAGAGGATTATATAATTTTTATCTGTATGTATGTAATGAATTATCACCGTCATCACTGTGTTCCACAACGTTTGTATTTTGTATTTTACCCCACATCAACACCACGCTATGAATGGTGCACATGTGTTCAAGAAAGATGTACTGTGTCGATCCTGACGAGAACCAACTAAAATCATCACCGAAACATAGCTTGGTGATATCAATGAAGTATTATTGCGGTCGTCCTGGCCTGGCCTTTTCCCATGCAGGGATTCTACAAACTTCCCGTAGACCCTGGTTTGTTGGCGTGGTGGGAAGCTCAGAAACTGGAACGGAAACCCTGAAGGGCTGGGGACATACGTTTTTTTTCCCGGGAACGTTCCAAAGGGTACGCTGGATGTGGGCAACTGCCACCAGTTGGTTTGACTTGGTTGGAACCTTGGAGAATCCCAAAGGATGTTCGACTGTTTCCATCAAGAGTTGGTCGCGTGTGAACCCAATCCTCAAATGATCAAAACACAACACGAGCAAAGTTGGCTGTGTTGTGAAAACATGCATGTTGAAGCATGTCACATCTTGAATTCAATGGGCCACAGGATAGTAGGACAGGGCCATGTCGGGCATTTTTGCAGGAGAGGTGATGCCTCAGCAGTGGACAAAACAAATTTTGGCAGCGAGGCACCAGTCAGAGCGCACACAATTGTAGTCACAACAAGGTAGGTGGATGCAAGATGATGCAAGTCACTACAATTGTATGCATGTTGCTATTGTTTTTTGGGATTATCTTTGCCCGAAATTTGCATCAGTGCATCGTTAGTTTCTGTGATGTCATGAGTTTAGAGGAATACCTGGCCAGCCTCAGTCAGTGGCACTGCATAAAAGTATATTGAAAGACTGATGAAGTTTCTTTTCTATAGCCTTTGCTCCCTCAACAAGAGGGCAGGAAGATCCTGACTGATAACAAAGGGAAAAATGGATGCAAAGTGTGCTTCATAGGGAATATTGCGTTATGATTCTGATATACTGTATAATATTGTATAATATATTCTGATGCTTTCTGAAGAGTCTGAGTTGAGTACATTTTCTTATACTCAGGTTGTTGTCTTACGCTTTCTCTCCGCACTGATCCCCAATAATCCATGACCCCGTTGCGTGTGCCTTGACTGCGGACCCAGGGCCTCACGGGGTCTCACGGGCACCTCCAAGTGACGGAGAATTTTGTTACCCCATTGTCAGGCGGACTTGCAACGAAAGTCGCCTCGGCTACACAAGGCACGGTCCATGGTCCATCACTCTTGGCTTCAAAAAAGCATGATGAATCGATAATATCACAAAGGAGAAGCGAAGAAAGCTCCAATTTTCCTTTGTGCTGAATCGATGCACAACATGTCACTCAGCTGCCTGATGTCTCCTTTTTCCGTTCCATAAGTGTCAATGACTGTGATGGTCAACGTGTTTTCTTGATGTACAATAGTATGATGATGTATGATGTCCTGCGATGTTCCCCGCAAAGTGACTGTGATGGAGGGGCGGCGCAGTTTGATGTCAGGGATATTAGGAGTAAGCTTCAACGACCTAAGATGGCCTACTGTAATTTTATTTATGTGTACATTAAATATGCATTGTATGTACATACACCTGTCAGTATTGTCATTATCCCAAATGCCTTGAATGTCATGAAACGCCTGCGCATTCGCCAGGCCCTCCAATGAGTAGCTGTCACCGCGGCGATGCGGATGAAGAAAATCGGGCCATCAGCTGATGTCGAACGATGGAGGGATGGACAGCACAAAATTTTGGCAGAATAAGCAGACGTGCCAGAAGGATCCAGAAGGAACATACAAGTTAATACAAGTTAAGTGTTTTCGTCTTGTTTCGTTTGTCTCTTTGTCACGAATACAAGTGGCCAGCGTTGTTGAAATTATACCATGATTGTTGGTGTTGTGATTGGATCAATAGATAGCTTGGAGATGCTTGGAGTAGAGTGTAAGATTGAATTGCAGCGCGCTCATACTTCGGTGCTAATAATCTTGAGAGCAATCCCACCAGATGCCAATGGTCACTTGTTTGAACAGTGTAGACTTACAATTGTTGGAGTTTCTTGTCCGAGAGTAGAGACATAGTGCATGAGATTGAAAATTGCTTGATTCCAAAATGCTAGCTTGAGAGACTGGCAAACTCGATGGATTATCATTAATTTCCTCGTTGGAATTGTCGTTTCCAATCCTCAAGTGACATACCCAGTAGCATAAACATAAATATAAACATAGAATAACAATGAATAACATATACATAAACATAGACAACATGTGACCAGATGTGCCAGAAGAACTCATCATTTTCCAAGGTAGCTCTATTTGGAACCGCCAGCCTTGGCTCGGTGCGTGGCGAGTCAGGACTGTGGCGTGGCAAGAGATCCATGGATCAATGGGATATCTAAGCTGTAGCAGCTGTAGCTGCACAGATCACAGCAAATTGAAATACAACAGCAAAATGATGCAAAATGGGTTTGGATCATTTGGATTCATTTGGAACTTTCACCAAGTCGTCTTGAAACGGCCTCCTGTCGTACGATTCCTACGGGATCCTGCGGGCTCGCAGCAAAACATCGACCTGACACCGGGATACACCGGGTGACCTCCGCTGAAGAAGGCGGATATGGCAAGTCTGTGGAAGGCCTTACGCAGCCGGGCAGAAGATGGCGAGGCTGGGGCCCGCAGGGCTGGGTCAGTTGAGTTGTTTCTTTTCCTCAACGTTTTGCTTGGGGTAGATCCATTTGTTTGATTTGTTGACAACATCTACGGAATCACTGGCCCTTGATATGAAATTCCCTCCTATGAACGGATCCCATACTAAATCGCAGTTTCATGGTTTCAAAATGTTTCAAACGGGGTATTGGTGTTTGAGGGAAGGAAAGGAATTAATTATGTGTAATCCTTGTTGAATTGGAAAGGAGTCGCAAAGTCTTGGAATGTTCAATGTCCATATATTCTAGCTCACAGCAGCTGTTTCCCAATAAAGAGATAATCCATCCACATTGTTGAGATTATCAGTTCTGTAAGCTATGTGGGCCGACAGGCTGGACAAAGAAGGTCAATGACATGCCCTCAAATAGTCTCACCTTGAGCTCGAATCCCCAAATTGGGGCTATTGCTTCCTTTTCAGAGGTATGAACAAGACTTTCATGTGTGATGACAGCTATGATAGTATGAGCTGGGTTTGTTTGAGCTTGGATCAGTGCCACAGCATCGCAAGCTGAGCAGGCGAGACCACATGGATGGTTGCCACCCATTGGGTCCTGCTCCCAGTGCTCAACAGGGTGTGGTACCAGAATTGAAGCTGGCAGCAGCTGCCAGTATCACACTTACCAGTCCTTCCTCATCGATCTAGCATTTAGTTTGACGCAGAACTTAGTTTGACGCAGAACTTAGTTTGCCAGGGTTTTATAGGGTTTGTATGGGAATGGCCACCATCATCCAATCGCCATGGACCACGGTCAAGGAAGACCTGCTTTGGTCCAAGACTACTGTTCATATTTGTGTAGCATTTTTGTTCATGATGTTCATATTGACAAGAGTTTCCCATTGATATCATTGATCACCAACTGTTAGTGTACCAGCAACTGGAAGTAGTCCTGATCCAACACGTACCAGTCAATCCTGCCGTCATGGAGGCCCAGTTTCACTGAGTTGCGAAGTAGCAGCAGATGCTCCGTTCAACGGGCTCGTTCCCAGTCTGCGATCCTCGGCCACGGTAAATGCATCAAATGCCCCGGTTATTGCAGTGCAGGCACAAAGTATGATGCAAAGACCAAAATGACTTGAATGTAAATAAGTGTGATCATGCCCATTCATGCCCTGTATCATCTTTTACCGATTTTTACCGTATATCTGTTGTTCATCGTTGTTTGGTTGTCTAGATATGTCCAGATTCCAGTTGCTGTTTGTTTGTTCCGGCGCACATGTCGTCACAGCCTGAGGACTCGCGTCGATCTCTCGACTCCCTCAACCTCCACGCCTTTGTCTTTGCCACCCATCAGCCGCAGTGGGACTCCACACTCGGGACCATGGACACCTGCCACCAGAGGAGCACTTAGTACCTCAGCAGAACTCAGCAGATCTCAGCAGATTCCATCGGTTTTCAAATCGGTTTTCAAATGGTGGATGTCACTACATGTCACTACCAATGTGCTGTATGCGTGTGTCTCGAGCGACGGCTTCGGCGTGTTCTATCATGTTCTTAAAGTTCTTGAGGACCGCCTTGAAGACAGGTTTGATCAGTTTTGCCACCAAAATCCTCTGATGGGGCAGCACATGACAATTGGAGTCAGAACAAAAGGCACCTCCCACCCATCCCTGGTATATGATGGTAGATTTATATATATATATGTGTATATGTATACCCTGTGTTGTCACATGTTGTCACTCTAGTTCACAAGTCGGGGAAGCCGCTTCATCATGATCACAGCAATGCAAACTTCAACATGCCGCACCTCCATACTGTCGAGGTCTTGACCGGGCAAACTCTGAATCTTCCACCATAAGTCCAAACTCTTGCTACATGAGCATGTAGCTTGGCAAGAGCGCTGGGCATCAATAGAGAAGGATCCTTCAAATCGATCCAACATCTCGGCTGCATGGGAACTGAACACGGAAATTTTCCTCAGGTCTTTATGGATCCTGTTTTTTCTCAAGGAAATGATCCATCCATATCGCGCCTCATGTGGGCAAAACCTGAAAGATTGTGCATGGTTTCAGTATGGATGGAGATCTAATCGAATCTATACTATTCTATACTCCATGCAAAGCCATCAGGTGCCAATCGCATTACATGTTCCATGGACATTGAGCCCAAGAGTGTCCAATGGCCAATCAACGGCCAGGAAGATTGGGCCATGATGGCCCATGTATGTTTAGTGGCTTAGCGACACTTGCCAGCCGGCAGGTATCCTTCACCTGCCCATCAATGTGGGACGCCAGCCCGTCATTGCGGCACTCCTTTGAATCAGCCCGGGACACAAAGGAGTCCCCATTCTGCTCATTCTGCTCATTGCAATTGGAGTCCCCATCAGTATCTTGTTTGAAATTTGTTTGAAATCCATGGCCTCATGGCCAACGACTTCGATGTTTTTCCCTCTATATACTGTATATAATTGTAAGGTTCCTTGTAGTCAGGGGTTTGTTGTGCATCTAGGGTTTTGATTTAATGCCAACAATGACGTGTGTGATGAAACAAGAACAATCATTCGCAGCGCGGTTTGTACTGACTTGCTACACTACAACTTCATTTTACATTTTTCAATGAATAGATTTTAAAATGTATTGATGTATAAAAACTATACAATACATTAAGTTAGAAACATAAAGCACATGATGTGAATATACTCTCTATATACATGATGTGCGGGCCCACATATAGTATGCTTCAAAGATGTATTATATAATCACGAAAGCCAGCCGAAGGCCTGGGCTTGAGTATAGGTAGAAGCGAAGCGAAGCTAATCTAGGGGGTGTGGGGGGGGGAGGCCCGAAATCGGTCCGTTTTTGAAAGGTGAGGCCGGAGCCTGGGGGGGGAGAGCTCAAAAACCGACCTGCCGTTTGCCTGGTTTTTTGGGCCCGAACGAGATGCTCCATTTTGGACACTTGTTGGTGGTTTTCGACGGTTTTCATCGGGTTTCAAACGCCAAAACACTGTAATTTACGGTGTTTTTGTGCGTTTGGCCTGGCAAAAGTACGTCTTGCAACATGCTGAAAACAGCGTAAATACCACTGTTTTTGCTAGGTTCTGGCCATAAAACACTGTAAATACCGTGGTTTTTGGTTCCAGGAGCAAAAAACACCGCAAATACCGTGGTTTTGGGCTTGCGAGGCGTCAAAAAAACACGGTTTTTACGGAGTTTTTTGCTCCGAGAATGTTCAAAAAACACGAAACCACCAACTATTTGACCATTTTTCGGCTTTACCTTGTTGGTGGTTCTTGACGGTTTTCATCGGGTTTCAAATGCCGAAACACTGTAATTTACGGTGTTTTTGTGCGTTTGGCCTGGCAAAAGTACGTCTTGCAACATGCTGAAAACTGCGTAAATACCACTGTTTTTGCTTTTTGGGCCCGAACGAGATGCTCCATTTTGGACACTTGTTGGTGGCTTTCGACGGTTTTCATCGGGTTTCAAACGCCAAAACACTGTAATTTACGGTGTTTTTGTGCGTTTGGCCTGGCAAAAGTACGTCTTGCAACATGCTGAAAACTGCGTAAATACCACTGTTTTTGCTACGTTCTGGCCATAAAGCACTGTAAATACCGTGGTTTTTGGTTCCAGGAGCAAAAAACACCGCAAATACCGTGGTTTTGGGTTTGCGAGGCGTCAAAAAAACACGGTTTTACGGAGTTTTTTGCTCCGAGAATGTTCAAAAAACACGAAAACACCACCTATTTGACCATTTTTCGGCTTTACCTTGTTGGTGGTTCTTGACGGTTTTCATCGGGTTTCAAATGCCGAAACACTGTAATTTACGGTGTTTTTGTGCGTTTGGCCTGGCAAAAGTACGTCTTGCAACATGCTGAAAACTGCGTAAATACCACTGTTTTTGCTAGGTGTTGGCCATAAAACACTGTAAACACCGTGGTTTTTGGTTCCAGGAGCAAAAAAACACCGCAACTACCGTGGTTTTGGGCTTGCGAGGCGTCAAAAAACACGTTTTTTTTTTTTTAAACGGAGTTTTTTGCTCGGAGACTGTTCAAAAAACACGAAAACACCAACTATTTGACCATTTTTCGGCTTTACAAATGAAGGT